AACCAAATCACCTGTATTTTTGTTCTTTGTCGGGGATTTGTTGGTGAGCAGTGTGGTTAAAAGAGCAGACTATCTTTTCTTTTTCTTTCTTTCTTTTTTTTTTTTTTGCCTTTCTCCTCTCTGTACAATATGGAGGAAGAACAGGGAGAAAAGATGAAGAAGGCTTGACTGGAAACAGTTTGCAAGGACTTCCTGTTTGTTTCCTCTTTGGTTTTTCTTAGTTTCTGTAGGAAATTGTGCGTACGTGTGTGCAAGCGGGAACGAGACAGAGACACTGAGCAGTGAAAGGGACTGATGGACTTAGGAAAAGTCAGTATCACATATGAAATAAACCCAACATTTAGCTATTAGATATATCTGAGTGAACGCATAGATGCAAGTACACATTCATTAATGAACGGGTCTCCATTGTGTGTTGAGTGCTCTCTAATAAATTAGCACATAATTAATGAGGGCTCTAGTTACACTTCTAGTGTATATCTTAGGCATTAATTTTCATTAAAACTTCTTCTGTCAGGGTAAAGCCATTAGCGATTTGTATAAGATAACAGATGTGAGCTTCACAAATACAGCTGTAAGTGAGCCATATAAATAATTTTTTTAATTTTCTAGTAGCCACATTAAAAAAGTGAAGGCAAACAGGTAAAATTCATTTTCATTATATATTTGATTTAACTCAGTATATTTAAAATATTATCATTTCAACATGTGCTCAATATAAAATTATTGCACTATTTTACATTTTTTGTACTGAGTCTCCAAAATCTGATGTATATTTTACACTCACTGCTCATCTCTAATCAGACTAATCACATTTCCAGTGTTTAAGAGCCAAATGTAGTTTGGCTAGTATATTGGATAGCACAGGGCTAGCATCCCACTGCTGTTTCACAGTAATAATAGGGTCTTCCTACAGCTTATGTGTGTTTTTGTTGTTACAAAAGAAAATGTAAACAGAACACTGTATGTTTTTTGAGTACTGCAGTGTTTCCCCAAATGCAAAACACTAGTACCAAGAGCTTCCCTGTGGAAAAAATATGTTCTATGATTAAATAAGTTAGAAAAATTCTATTATTTTACCCCTCTTTGGAGATTTACATGATGCATGAATATATCACAGACACTTAGAAAACTGTCTTGAGTAGAGAAACCTGTTTGAGGTTGTTGAGTTCTGTCTCTGGTAAGGTTCAACCTCCTGATTGTACTGTTGCCTAGCTACCACTATAAAAACATGCTTAGTCTGACATGGTACATTTATGATGTGCTTATAATATTTATTTTTTCTAAGTACCCCTCCCCCCTTCCCATACCCAGGTCCAGGCCCATTAAAGATACAACAATGGGTCTGAGCCAGAGTATTAAACCTACTAAATCTTGCTCTCAGACCTGAGATCATTCTTTACTACACTTTTGGGGACAGGAATTTTGGAAATTGCCACAAGTGTCTCTAAGTAAGAAAAACACTGCGTCTTCCCTTCTTTTCCTATTCTTTTTGGAGCCTATCTCTACTTAGCCTTTGTATTCAGAATCACCCTAGAGCCAAATATATGTTCTTGTTCTGGAACCACCTACTAAATTGAAAACAGCAGATGGCTGTAATGTCTTGCACATGGACATTTATCTTCAAAAAAGTCCCTAAATGCACACCTTGCTCTCATTTCAGAAATTATGAGCACTCTAAAGAGATGAGGGGAGAAACATCTGGATGTGCATACCTGGGTGTAAACATAGAATACAGTTTCTTAAGTAGAATAATACCATCCTGCTGACACTTTCTCTCTTTTTTTTTGTATTTTGTGTGTGGTATTGATTTACAGTGCTTTAATGTGTACCATTTTTGTCAAGCGTGTAGAGCAACATTAACTTAGCAATCAGTTTAAAGAAGATATAGATTAGACTTGACAACTGTCAATCTTTAGCAAATGATCTTTTTGCATTTGTTTTAGTGGGACATCTGATGCTGACCCTGTTTTGTTTTATAATCTGTGTTTATGTGGCAATTACCAGTTAAAAGTAACTTCTGTTGCTGAATTTGGTCCAAGTTGACTATAGTAACCTTTATATGTGGATGCATTCAAGTCTGAAGCTTGATTAAAATGATTAGTTTTGTCTCATTTTTTAGGACTTTAGTATTTCAATATCAAAGATGCCTTCTGAAAATGCAAAGTTTACCATCAGTTTTATGTAGACTGCCCAGGAGTAGGAGTGGAACATTCTAAGTGCCAAAGTTTGGTTTTAGAATCTGATAATGAAAGGCAGCCTATTCTCTAAAAAGGTAACAGCTTTACCAACTTTGAACATCTGTGATAGCTCTGCTTGGAAAGGAAGTCAGATTTTTAATCCCATGGATTTAGTCGCGCTAAATTTAAAAACATTTAAAAATGGGTTTCATAGTATCCAAAGATTATGGGAAACTTTGCAAAGTCATATACAGGAATAGTCAAAGACCCCATGTCAGTTTCAGAATGTGCATTTCCCAAGCGAATAGAATTTACTTCACCAACAATATTTTTTGCACAATTCATAATACTTACAGAAGTATAATTGTATCATTAGAGGAAAAAAGCTCATTTTCCTAATGATATTTTTTACACTCACTAGTAAATTAGTGCAATTCCTTTATTATTTTTGGGGGGGATACAAAAGAGTAATCAGTCAATAGAATACAATTGCTTATTCCTAATAATATCTAGAAATGAATACATACTATTAAAGTATTATTGAATTTTGAAGAACTGCTCAACAAATTAGTATTATTAATAAAATTGTACTCTTTGCAGTAGTTTGCCTCAGCACAAATGCAGTTAAAACATAAATTTATGAAAAATACATCACATAATAAAGATTAGTTATTGCTTTAAAATCATACTAATTTCTATTAGCATTAAATCCAATACCATTTATTTGTAGTGTATAAATTTTGAAAGTCTTGCCCACAAAACAAGAGGCTTCTTCAAAAATGCCTTTTTGCCAAAAACAGGTTCTATGACCCCTTGCTAATTATTATATTTCTTTAGGGGTACTGTGAGGCACTTTCAAAGACATATCTCTAGCAGTTAGGTCTAAATATAGAGCAGAACATTCAGTCAGATATTTTACTATATCACAAAATGTTGTAGTACTGTATTTTATAATAAAAACAAATTCTCAAGTGTTCTAGTATGTTACATATTATTAGACCAAAAAAAAAAAAACAACCCACACACACTTTCTCTAAGTCTATTATTGTGTACATAATATCTTTTAAAATGGTGGGTATTTCAGTCCTAGGAAGAAAGTATAATACAATACGTGGTTTTAAATTGATCTTTAGTCAATATCCATTTATGTATTTGACAGGGAAACTAGCAATCATAAGCTCGAATGTATGCATTTTTTTCTCAAAGACAAAAAGGCAAATGATAATACATAAAGTTATGGTCACTGGGGCAAGTTAGCTGGTGTGCACACTGACAAGGATCAACGTGCAAAAGCTCATCAGACTTTAGCTTTTGTTATTGTTTATTCCTCGAGGGGACAGTGCTGCAGTCAGTTGATGTTGCCTCTCCTTCACGTGGGGATTTTGCTCACAGCCACTTCATGGTGTAATGAAATTTCTGTAGAAGTAGGATTGAGTCAGAAGCTTAGAGAGGCACCTTACTGTTTTTAAAACTGCTGTTACAATGTTCTAAACACTGTGATCTTTCAAAATGTGTTTTCTGTATTAGGTTTGTACCATAGAAAATAATTTGCTGTAAACTGGACTCTGTGTTTAAAGTGATGTTATTTATTGACTTATAACCACCCCCATGTATGTATGGTCTACTTAATAAAATAAAACACATGATAATCCTTTGCCTTAAAATAAAATTTGATGCTAAATGTTGATTGTGCTCTAATGAATAAGTCTAAGCTACAAATAAATGTTTCCTCTGAAGCTTAAGACAGTGTCAAATAAAATATTATAAAATACTCTGTGTAGTGTTGCTGCCTATTCTGTATTTGTGACAGTGTGTGTATCTTGATCCAGGACACAGTGGCCACGGGATTCTATAAATAGACATTAGTAATCCTTTTAGAGAATGGGCCTGGTACCACTCAGCTGTTGGCTGAATCCTCCCCTTAACCCTTATAAATAGATTTTACCAGGCCACACAAGAATGAAGAAAAACAGCTTTTCATGTTTCCTCCTTTTACAATATTTGTCTTGATTCCTACCGAATCTTCAGTCTATTTGTGATGAGATCATTTTCCAAAATAGAAAAATGCTCGAGATTACTGCAGATTGATGGAATCACACAATTTCAGCAGGGAAAAAGGATTGTCATTATTAAAGTCTAATCCCTTGGAACAGGTTAGGACCTGAATTTTAGAGATTTAGTAGCCTGCTTAAGCTCTAAGGGACAAGGTGGGTTGAGCTCATCCTGATGCCCAGAAGATTATCACAAATTCAGTGAGTGGAAAGGAATTGTGTTAGCCTTGGGGCTGGCACACACCAGCACGGCCAGAAAACAGTTTCCTTATTTGGCCTTGGCCTTTGCCCTGAGTTAGTCAGTTATAAAAGAATAGATTTTGTAGACAGTTCTTTTGGGAGAGATGGTGTTGGCTCCTAAGGATTATGTCTGGTGCTCTTCCACCATTAGAAGCAATGCTTCAGACGATTATTTGAATAGCTGAAGGGCATGCTTACTTGGCCCAGTGAAAACGTAATCCTGGGGGCATGCCAATGTACTTGTACTTTGAAAAGTATCTGTGTGGTCAGGGTACTTTCAGAGGACCTAAAATGCAGGCCCTTTGAGGATTTGGCTGTTCCCTAGGCCCAGAAAATAGAGACTGGGCTGGAAAAGCTAACAATAGGCTCCATTGGTTGCAGTTTTTCAGAAGGTTGTGAACTGTTTCTAACGCGAACGTCGACCAAGGGGCTCTAGGACCCAGCGGCTACGCGCAGGGCCAGTAGGGCCTGGGAGGCTTTGGGGCCCCTCGCGGGCCGTTGCTGGGTGCGTGTTCTCAACCCATCCCAGGACCCTCACGGCAGAGACGCCTCAGGCACTCTGGCGCGAGGGCGGTGCACGCCGTGCGTGGGCGTGTCCGAACAGGCCTCACTCCCCGCCTCCTCGCAACTGGATAGGTCGCCCCCAGGATCCGCTCCAGCGCGTGGGCCCCGTGCCCTAGGCGGGTAGCGCAGAGCGCGGGAGCCGGCGGCCGGGCTGGCCGGTAGACCCTCGGGCCGCTGCCGCAACCGCTACAGTCACAGCGTCCGCCAGGGGTTCGCGCGCCGCTGACGCGCAGAGATGAAATTCCCGGGCTCGGTGCTGGCGTCCGTGTTCCTGTTCGTGGCTGAGACGATGGCGGCGCTATACCTGAGCAGTACCTACCGCTCGGGCGGGGATGGCATGTGGCAGTCCCTGACGCTGCTTTTCTCGCTGCTGCCCTGCGCGCTAGTGCAGCTCACACTCCTCTTCGTGCACCGCGACTTCAGCCGTGACCGGCCGCTAGTGCTGCTGCTGCACCTGCTGCAGCTCGGGCCCCTCTTCAGGTGCGTGCGGGACCACGGGCCACCGGCCACAGACACGGCCTCTTCCCTAACCCGCGCTGGTCCAGGGCGGGGGGCCTTCCGGGAGGGCGAGTGACTGGAAGGGGGGCTGGGCCCAGGCCAGCCCACCCTCTGTCAGCCCCACGGTTACAGTCCCAGGAATGCGACAGTATCCTGGGATAATGACAGTAAAGCTGGGCGTACTGCGTTCCTGTTAGGTTCTTGACAAGAAATTGCCATCACTCAGTGGAATTTAACTGACAAAAGTGGCAATTTCATGTGGTTCGACGTCCTAAAAATCCAGGCTTTCACTGCAGTCAGGTGAGCTCTGGCAGGATTGGCTTGTGTCGTGACTAACCCTTGGGAAGTGCGTCCTACATCACCATTGCAGCAAAAGCGGGGATAGATTGTTTAATTCATTAAACACGTGGAGTTTATTATGTTCCAGGAACTGTTCTGAGAGCTTTACAAATATTCATTTATTCTATTATCATACATAACTCTAGAAGGCCACACCTCAGTCTTTTTTTCTTGTATGTGGAAACATATGGGGTTGTAGAACTATCTTCCACCCTTGCCTGAGTTATAAACCTAATTGTTGAAGCTGGAACACAAGATGACATGAAGACAAAAACTTGCAGTGTGTTAAGGAAAGAAAAACTCCAGGGACATTTCTGGAAATTCGTTTTTATTAACACAAAGCAAGAGAAATACATGGTAATGAAGTAGACATTGGCTTATCCAAAGACCATGAAAAGAGTTTAAAATGAGATGTTTTGATGTCTTTCATCTCTGTAGGAAAAGCAAAACCAAGGGTTTCTAATTGGATTATGTATAAAGTAATATTGAGCTTGAGAAGTAGGTGAAATTTCACCTGCCAGAAAATTCAGCTATTTTAGCCAGGGACCTGTCCTACCAGGGAGTATCTCCCCCTAATTCCCCTATCCACCCACACATCCACATGCAACACAAAGTCAAGCAGCAAGATAGGTTTTACAGCACACTATAATAAATATTTGCACTTTATATTAAAGACAGCCATTCTAGCTGACACTCAGAATATGGACTTGTAGTTTACACAGTTAGGACAAAGTTGGTGAACAAGTTTTCCAGAAGCTGTGAAATTCTAGAAAGGAAGAGAAACAGGTACGGTGGAGGGAAAAAAAGTTGCTACTGACATCTTGAGGGCAAGGGAAGAGTTGGGGGGGAGGGAAAGAGAGAGAAAGAGAAGGGAGAAAGAGAGGAGAATTTAAAAACTTCTGCAACCAGGAGCCATTAGTGAGAGAGTCCATCCTCTGTGGCTAAGTAGGCCACAGCATCCTGATGGTGTTCCCACTCATTAAAATCAATGTTATCTGAATTTGGACAAAGCACTCATCATTTCTTAACCTAATATCTGAAAACAAAAGTCGTTGTTGGTGATGTTTAACTAAAGTGGAAGAGAAAAGGGAAACTGACATTTCTCAAATGTGTCTTGTGCTTCATGGGTTGTAGGTAGTTATATGCCTCAGTTCACTGAATACTCATCATGAACTACCTAGATGTAATTGTCCCTATTATAGTGCAGGAAAATGAGACCCTACATCGTGTCCACAAAGCCTCTTAGAAATGGGGTAGAGTGAATTATGTTCCCTATACTCTGTGAAAGAAGGCAGAGGAGTGTGGAGTGTATTTTATTAATAGGTTGGTCTTAAGAAAGTTTGGTTATGTTGGTAAAATTTAAAAGCACAACCTAAATAGTCATCCAGATAAATGATAATACCATATCATTTTTGCCATTCATATGTTTCTAAATACTAGGAGTGACCAAAGACAAAGCTAATGATACAATATTATGTATAAAAACAGGATGGGACTTACAAACCTGAGCTCGAGGAAATATACCAAATTAGGAGTGGTAATTTCTGGATGGTGGAGTTCTGGGAGATTTTAATTTTCTCCTGCAAAATATAGAAAGCACATAATTTCCTCCTTTATTTAGTTCTCTACATTTTTCAGTTTAACTTTAACTTTTTAACATAGGCCAGAGAGGTATCTCAGCTGCCAATAAATAGTTTAACTTTATTGAAGAAAGAAAAAGATTGATGCTTTCAGGAGATAACTAGCTATATTAAAAAATTCAACCCCTGAAAAAAACATATTTCAAAAAAATTCTGAATGAGTCATTGTTTTCTTTCAGGGATTTCTTTCAGGGAAAAACAAAATAAACCATAGAAAACAAAGCAATAAACAATCCCCTTCTGTCAACAAGGGCTCTGTCATTCTAATGGAGCTGATTTATTTCAAGGAGATATTGGACTCATGATCTTAGAGTTGAGATGCACAAGATGCAGTTCCAAGCCTCTTAGCTTCCAGATAAAAAAAAATGACACTTTGATGTTGTGTATTAGCATGACTTAATATGTTATTGGAAGTTCTTCCTGCTGACTGTTTGATTCTATTTTAACTCTAAGATTTTTCCATAGAATTGCCCTGGCTGGCATAGCTCAATGGATTGAGCATGGGCTGCGAACCAAAGTGTTGCAGGTTCGATTCCCAGTCAGGGCACATGCCTGGATTGCAGGCCACGGCCCCCAGCAACCACACATTGATGTTTCTCTCTCTCTCTCTCTTTCTCCTTCCCTCCCCTCTCTAAAAAATGAATAAAATAAATAAAATCTTAAAAAAAAGATTTTTCCATAGAATCAATATTATCTGTCTCTCACAAAGGAGAGTCATGGTGTGTTTCTTTCCCTTCCTAATAGATTAGACTTAGTAATATTTTGAAATTGTTTTTGAGAAACTTAGCTCTGTTTATTTTTGGGTGCATACTAACTGGCCCAACACATAGTCTTTTCAGATGAAATGCTGTTTTTGAATTTACTCAGTTAAATTGCATTATATTATACTGTAATAATTATGGGGTAAATACTGCAAATTAGGTCCCACTGCTCTTTTTTAGGGAAGTACCAGATAGGTCCATATTTCATTTATATCAGTCTTATATTTAAAACTAAAGTCACAGTGTATATGGTCGTTTACTCACTCAGGCTGGGTTTTGATGATAAGAGCACAGAATAATGTCTTGAATTTTTTTTAAGTTTAAAGACAGTCTTATTGTGAATGATAAGAGATGTTCTGGAAAACCAGAGGGGGGAAATGCATCTTACCACCAACAACAAAATTTGTTTATTATTTTATAATATGTTAATTTTATAAATTAATTAGGAGAAGGAATGACTATAAATGAGTTACTAGTTCGAGTAACTTTTCTTCATTTTATTTACTGGTATAATGAAGAAAAAATAGCACATGAAAATCTGGGTTTATAAATAAAAGCTAAGAAGTTCTAGTAATATTTTATAGAACAGTGCAGAGTGATTTACCATAGTATTTGTCTCTTATAAACTCTCAACAGACTTTAAAATAACAATAGCCCAAATTTGAAGAGCATTTTTATTTGTAAAGTACTTTTACATACAATATTTCATTGCATCCACTGTAAAACCCTGTGAGCTAACTGTTGTTATCTTTTTTTACAGTTGAGGAATTGAGGCTCAGTGAGAGTAAGCAAGTGGCTTTTCAAAGGTCACATGGCACTTTCTGTTTAACCTGTTGGGTTCATGTGTTGCCTCACTAAGCATATGTGTCTTATGATATAACACAGCATATAGGAAATCATAGTCAGTATTTCTTCTGAAAACATTTTTATTAACTACCTTCAAGGTTTTCTGTTAACCAGATTATTTATGCTGACACCAACATGCATGATTTTAGCTAAGGAATAAACTCCTTCCACTATGGTGCTTGAAAATGAGAAAAAGTGAAAAAAAAAAGAGGATCAACCTGCTGATTATATACATTAGGAGTTGACAAACTATGCCTCACAGGCCAAATCTTTCCACTGCCTATTTTGTAAATAAAGTTTTATTGGAACAGCCATGCTCATTCATGTATGTGCTGTGTATGACTGCTTTTGCACTAGTGGCACAGTTGCAATAGAGACCATGACCTGCAAAGCCTAACATATTTACTCTTTGTATATACAGAAAATGTTTGCCAATCCTTGGTCTACATATTATGGAAAAACTACCTCGAATGATTTTAATGCAAATGAAAATGTTTAATGTATGGCTATATTTAGACAATTGCTCAAGCAAAAAACAAACAAACAAAGAAACCATGTTTTGAGTAATTGGATGAGTCTTGCAGAATTCTAATAAGAAATAGAATTTGTTTCTTATCAGTTTCTTAACCAGAAGTGGCAAGTAGTGGAGGTCTTATGGCCTTGCACAAATTTATTAAACATTTATTACTTGCAAAGTTCTGTGCAAAGATAAATGTATTTAGTTGGGAAAAACAGTGGATAGCTCATTCTGGGACATTCTTTCATTTCAGTTGGTAGACACTGAAGTTTCATTTCATCTACAATTTTGTAAGTTCTTGTTTAGTGCCCAATCTCAGCATCAAGAGAATTACTTTCTCCTCCTAACCTTCATTTTATTCATTCATCTTTTAGCATGTGCTGGTGTTTCTTTTGTTTGTTTGTTTAGTCTTTAATTATAAGGTTGATTTCATTGTTCAGGAAAAAAAATGGTACAAAGAGCAAAAAATTCATAAGCACAATTAAAAAAATAACCCCCCCCTCTAATTCAACTGACTAAAGAGAACACTTCTTAACATTTTGTTGTATGTATATCTTTACTAATATTTTTACACCAGTAAGCTAGTAAACTGTCTCTCAGGGGCAAAAAAAAAAAATCCCTGATTTGCAGCATTTGCTGATTTATGTGATGTAAAATTTCCTTCATGACCTATTTCAAGCTCCCAGTTGTTTAACAACTGGCTCACAAACTATTTAACAGTATGAGTCAGCTCAGGTACTCTACTGTTTATATGTATGTGTGTGTGAGACTTGTATATATTTTATACACATGCAGTTTTCTTTTTAAGAAATGGCATTTTCTAAATAAATTCAATTGTAATTTGTTCCTTTTACTAACCAAATATAGTAAACATTTTTATATATCAGTAGATATGAGAGGTCTGTCCAGAAGGTTTCCAGCCATGTCATATGAAAAATAGAGACATTTATTGAAGAAGATACAAGGTACAAGAAACATTCTACATACGACAATGATGCCTCAGTCCCCTTCAAAGTAGGCACCTTGGGACCTCACATAGTTCTCCCAATCACTATCAGCTCTGTCATATTTTCCTGAATCTCATCAATGGTCTGAAATCTCTTCCCTTTCAAAGGTGATTTTAGTTTTTGGAAAAGCCAGAAGTCACAGGACACCAAATCTGGGCTATAGGGGCACTGAGTCATTTGGGTGATTTGATGTTTTTCCAAAAAACTCTGCAGTAGACATGATGCATGAGCAGGTGCATCATCGTGATGAAGCTGCTAATGACCAGTTGCCCATAGCTGTGGCCTTCTGAATCATCTGAATAGTATCCATGGAGGAACGTTCAAGCTTTACACAGAATTTGAGGCCAATTTGTTATTCTACTCACTCCGTCATTTTGAATGTGATGAACACACAGTACATATGCTCAATCAACAGTGTCTACCACCCCCACTGACTCATACAGTGAAGTCGTCACTGTCTACTCTCCTCGGCTCTCAAGTTACATCAATATTGCACAAAGCATTCTCATTGTATTAACAATGGCTGGACTCTTTCTGGACAGACCTTGTATGTATATACTGTGAATTTAAAAGGCCTGGATAATATTCCATTGAATGCATATAATATAATTTATTTCATTATTGTTTTATTTAGGGACCTTTAGAGTACTCTCAGAATTTTGCTATTACAAATAATGCTATATTCAAAGTCTTGCATTAGGCTTTCTTAAGTAAGATAATATGTGAAAAATATTTTATAAATGGGAAATGCTGTATAAATGTTGGTTGTATTTATCATTCATTTTTCTTATCATTTGTATGTCCCATTTTCCCATTTAGATTGTGATTGCCTCTGAAGGAGGCATTGGTATCCAGCTGTTTTTGCATTCCCCCACAGCACATAGCAAAGTGTGTCTGCGTTCATCACACATTTGAGAGTGAAGATGATGGTCAGTTTATTTTGTCTTCTAGGCCTTGTTGTGGTCAGTGGTCCAAAAGTGTGAAGTTGCTAGGCCTCAAATAGTCTTCAGTCACACATAGATTTGAATTTTTCCTCAGAATACATTGAGTTGCATGAGCTGCACTTGTACTCATAACTTGAACTTCATATTTTCAGGTGAACATGTTGGTCCAGGTTGTTTTACATGTCTTAATGTAATATGTTAACATGTCTGTGACCTCACTGGACAAAATATAGCAGACAGGCTGTACACACACACACACACAAACTGTTATGTACCTTCTTTCTCTCAGGAACAAATGAACAAAAGTGATAATCACAAAATATGTCTAATTTGTACTCACAAGATATGTTCCCACATTATTTCTTTTATGTTGTTTTATTATTTCAAATTATGAATGTATTCTTATTGTCATAGTTGCCTAGGAGTGAGAGTACAAAGTTAGCAACATTAATAAAATAAGTGAAGCCATAAAAACTTCCAGCAGCATTATAAGATTGTTATAAAAAAGCATGTGCCCTGGCTGGTGTGGCTCAGTGGATTGAACACCAACCTGCCAACTGAAAGGTTGCTGGCTTGATTCCCAGTCAGCGCACATGTCTGGGTTTCGGGTCAGGTCCCCAGTGGGGGGCGTATGCATACATTGATGTTTCTCTCCCTCTCTCCCTCTCTCCCTCCCTCCCTTCCTCTCTGTCTAAAGGTGAATAAAAAATATTTTTTTAAAAAGCATGTTTAGTAGAAAATGTCCTTTAATAATTTTAAACCTAAGACCATGGGTATTTTTTCTTATCCCTAGGAAAAAGAATATTTTCCACAGCATTTTATTATGAAAAAAATTGAACATATAGAAGACAACTTGAAAGAAATGTACAGTGAACATCTAAATACTAACCACCTAGATTCTATAATTAACATTTTATATCATAAATTGATCCATCCATCTATTAATCCATTTGTACATTTGTGTGTGTGTGTACTTCAGAGTAAATCAGACACATCAATACTCTCTCCCTTCAGTATCCATTTCATTACCTGGAAAGGAAATCCAATTTTAAAAGCCAGGTACTCTCTCAGTGTAGAAAGGTTATGGTTTTATACCCAGGGTAGGCTTAAAATTCCATAAATAGGACATAGCTGGCTGGCCCCCATGCATGTTTGACTTTAGTCATCTTCTGTAAGGGCTTATGAGAGCAGAGACATAGGAAACACGTTGTGGTCTTCCAGGAGAACACTAAATGGCAAACTGTTCTGTGCTGGGGGGGTCTCTCAACCATAGCTGATGCTTTAGCTAAGGAGATTTGGGGTATCTATTGGATGTATAAAATAAATTTTATATATATATATATATGAGAGATACTTTTAGATATAGATATCCATGCATATAAGTGTAAATAGACGTGTATGTGTGTGTGTGTGTGTGTGTGTATGGACATATATCCTGTATTATCTCCATAACAATGTGGTAAAGTAAGTTTTATTTCTGTTTTATAATTGAGTGAAGTGGCTCAAGGGTTAAATGACTTGTCCGGGGCTGCACAGCTTATAAGTGTCAGGAAGGCAAATTGAATATTTTTCTGTAGCTCTATTTGATTTCCTTGTTTCAGTGGGCTTTGGTGTCACTTCTCAGTTTGGTTCTCACTCAGTTCCATTTGGCCTGCTGGAGGGACTCCAGAGGATTGCATGTTCAAAACTGTTTCTTGGAGTGGATGATTTTAGAGGAGGGGCTTCAGTCCACAGTAGCCAAGTCAAGGCTTTGAGAAGACTAAGTGTAAGCAGGGTAACTGAGAAAAGAGAATCCTGTCTGCCTCTTTATCATGACTTACTGATTTGTTTCCAGGTGTTTTGAAGTCTTATGCATCTATTGTCAGTCAGGCCACATTGAAGAGCCTTATGTCAGCATCACCAAGAAGCGACAGATGCCAAAAAATGGCTTCTCAGAGGAGATTGAGAAGGAAGTGGGCCAAGCAGAGGGCAAAATGTTCACCCATCGATCTGCATTCAGTCGGGCATCGGTGATCCAGGCTTTCCTGGGCTCAGCCCCTCAGCTGACCCTGCAGCTATATATAAGCACCTTACAACAGAAAATCACTTCCGGAAGATGTATGTATATATATTTTTACTTCTGCCTTCATTTGGGGATCAAAATGGGGAGCAAAATATAAAGTTGATTTTGTTTTAGGTGAAATTCATTCATATGTGCATTCAATCCTGGGTTTGCATTCTAGTTACTAAGCTCAAAACTTAGTGAGTTAAGGCAATAACAGTGTTTATTTGCTTATGAATTTGCAATTTGGGCAGGGCTCAAAAGGGCTCATCTATGCTCTACTGTCCATCAGCTGATGTGGCTCAAAGATGTGTAGTTAGAATCCATCGAAAGCCCATTTACTCACACTTCTTATGGTTGCTGGTGGTCTCAGATCTTCTCCATTTCATCTTTCTGTGTGTACTGGTTTGGGCTGCTTCAAGGCATGGTGGCTGCCATCAAGCATCAGTGTCCTAAGAGGGAGAGATGGCCAGGTAGAAGAGTTATCATTTCTTGTGATCCAGCCTTGGAAGTGATGTGACATCACTTCTGCTGTATTGTGTTTGTGGAAGCAGTCAAGAATCCTGCTGAAGTTGAAGGGAAGAAGAGGGAAGGAAACTGATTCTTGTTGGGGAAGTGTAGAATTTTGAAAGTAAGTTCACTGCAGTGACTATTTTGGAAAATACAGTTTGCTGTAGATTGAAAATATAGCTGCCAGAGACCAGCCCTCTTTGGATTTTGCCTCTGTCTTACAGTGATAGTTGTAAACCAGCTGAGATGGTTGGTTGTAATAGCTTCTTTGTGGTAAATGATGGAAGCAAAAGAGCACTCTTCTGTCTTCTTGCAGTTTAAATGTGTCTCTTAGCTTTTAAATGAACAGTTCTCTAACCTTTGGGCTACTGTCACATTATCAAATTAAGGTCAGGTTAAGCCAGGTTTCAAAAAAAAACCCAAAAAAAACCTCTATGTGCATGGACACAGTGAAAAACCTTCATATGTAAAGAGGAAATAGCCCCTTTCCAACATAAATATTATGGGTAAATGAAAACTAGATGTTCTGATAAATTTTACTATACAGATAAGCAAAAATGAGCTTAAAAGCCTTAAGTTAAATATATATATATATTTAAGATAATATCGAAATTATAACTTAAAAAATAAATCACTTTTATTAATTTCATTTCCCTTAATATTATCTTTCTGCCTATATTTCAGGCTGGATGGTAGAATGTCTTAATTTATGGCTAGGTCACAGGGTACTTGCATATAACAACCATCTCCCTCACCCAGGGATCTTAAGTTGAAGTCTTGAACCTTGGTGGGTTCATATTTAGGTGAAAATGACTTCCACAGCTACAGACAAATAGTAGGTGTTCAAAAAATGCCACAGCATCATTGTTCTCTAAGGACTCATTATTGGAATCAGCATTGATCAAGGCAAGTTCTCTGTATGCCACTCTATCCTTTTCCCAGTTCATTGTTTTTCCATGTGGTGGGCAGAGACACAATGAGAGACCAGATGTGGTTATAGTCTGTTTTATTTTTACAAGTAGACTCAACTTTTTCTAAATGAAGTTTATCTTATAGTTCAGAGGTCAGCAAGTGACAGCCCATGGACCCAACTGAGCACTGCTTGTTTTTGTAAATAAAAATTTATTGGAGCATAGCCATGCCCTTTCATCTACCTACTGTCTGTGTTTGGTTCCTTTTTTTTTTTTGGTAGACTTGAGAAACTGTAAGAAAATGTATGGTCCACAAAACTTAAAATATTTACCATCTGGTTCTTTACAGAAAAAGTTTGCCAACCCTCATTATAGTTTTTCAGACATAATTCTGTTTAGGAAAATAAAACCTATTTTATAAATGTCATTGTCACAAATAATATCTATGGGGTGCCCCCCAGGGACTTGAAGGTCAAACAATAAATCACATATATAAGGAAAAAGGAAATGGACAGGGTCCTCTTAAAAATTCAGATGGCTGATATTTAATGCAGACCTTGACTAACCCCAATCACTGCCTTAAAAAATCTGGTGAAGGAATTCCTTATGAGGAAGAAGAAAGGCAGTTACAATTGGAACATGGACTGGGGTGTGTCACAAAGGCAAATGTTGATAGTGTCCAATATGTAGTTAGGGATCCATTTGCTGCAAGGAACACTGCACTACAGGGTTAAACACCCAGAGTTTATTTTGCTCACCTAACAAGGAATTGGAGAGAGACAGTTATTTGCTAGCATTATTTCTGCTGCTCACAATGTCAGAGTTGATGTCCCTGTAGTTCCATTGGTCTTTTAGCCAGTAGTGCTTCTCATAGAGTTGTAGGAGGCTAAGAAATAGGAGGGATCCAAGAGGCTGTCATGTCTGACTGCACTTTATGTAGAAGTCCCATCTTTGGTGTCTGCAAAAGGTGATCTATCAGCCTCTGCTTGACTATGTTTAGCAGTGGAACTCTCAGTACTCAAAAGGTACTGTTCCATGGATAAAGCACTTGTTAGAACATTCTTCTTTGTATAATAAGATGCTAAGTGGAACTTTTCCTTTTTCCCAAGATGTGACACCAGGTCCAAGTGCTGGCTATATCACATTCAGAAAGAAAGGCACTAAGTATTTGCCAGACTCCTTTTTTCAGGATTTTACAAGAGTGACAAACCATCCCTACCACAATCAACTTCCTATATCCCCACCCTCAGATTCTATAAGGAAGTACCTATGGGGGAAGAGGTGAGAGAACAGGGACTTCTATAAAATACTACTTATAGTGAGAGGCCACTCCCTCCCAGAAGCCAGCTAAAGTGGCATTTTAAGATGAAGGGTGCTCATAACACAGGTAGCCAAGTACTTGTATCCCTGCCTTTTAAGCTGGGAACCCATAGCCTCATTCTCCTGATGCTTCCTTCAGAGATAGCTTATTGTGTGTACCCTGCAGTTCTGGAGCATCTATCAGTAATGAGACTGAGGCGTCTTTCTCATTTGTAGATTTGTGAAGGAGGGAGTCTTGAGGGAATAGGCTGGGGTGAGCAGAGACTGTGTTGCCGTATGCCTAGAAAGGGGACAAGAGGTCTCCACTGTATCAGGTAGCTATTATAAGTAATAAATTACCCAAGACTTAGTGGTTTAAACAATAAGCATTTATTTTTCAGTAGTCTACAAGTCAACTAGGAAGTTCTAGTCTGGGCCAGGCTATGCTGATCTTGCCTGAGCTTGTTCATTAGTGCACACTTAGCCTGTGGGTCAGTTGGGAATGACTGGAGTAGTATGGCTGCACTTGGAATTGCCTACTTCCGTGTGGTCTGTATTTCCTGAGCCTCTTAGCCTCGTGGTAGCAAGGCTTCGAGAAAGTCAAAGCATGCAGAGCTGCAGAGGCCCTTGTGGGTGGTTGAGGATTCAGAACCCAAGACACTGCCATTTTTTCACATTCTACTTCCACAGCTGAGAGGAGATTGGGTGGGGGGCAGTTCAAATCACTTTCATGATAATATCCCACCAAGTTGACACAACTAAGTAGAGCCCTTTCACTCATATGGAAATCAGCCTCCTTTAATCTTCAGCCTGATGTTTAAACCTGATTTTTCCCACTAAAGCAACTAACTCTCTCTCTCTCTCTCTCTCTCTCTCTCTCTCTCTCTCTCTCTCTCTCTCCCCCCCCCCGCCCTTACCACACGGCAGATCTCCAAATATTCACAACTATACTGTCTCCTTTTTTTTCTCTGTTCTCAAGATCTTTCTGTCATTTCTCTAATGACATTCTTTGAAGCCATCAAGGTCACTGTACTTGAGATACAATCTGACTTTTCCCTTTTTTTCTTAAAAAATGACATTCATAATTGAATGTGACATTGCAAACTTATTTCGACAAGAGCTGTTAGCAGTGGGATTATGTTTTCTTTTATTGTTTTGCTTTAATCTGAACCCTGTGATTTTATTTATGTGCCCAAATGTTGTAGCTTTTGGAGGAACTGAATCACACTGTTGGGTTATATTGATGGATGGTTCAGTAAATTCTCCCAGTTCCTTTTTCATACTGAAGCAGCTAAGCCAAGATTTACCCATCCAGTACCTGTACAGTATGTTTTGAAATATATAAATGTAGGGCTTGATCATTTTTCTTGTTATATTTCCTTTTCTTGGATTCAAGCCCAGGGTATCAGTCTTTTGAGATAATTTTGAATTGTGATTCTCTTGTCTTCTCAGTTTTGTCCTAGCTGTGATTTTCTGTCTTCATCCAATAGTTGGCAAGAACGAGAGACCAGAACAGTCCAAAGCCACAGCCCTGAGCACTCCTTGACAAATGCCCTTTATCCTGAAAGGAGGTAGCAAAGAATATGAGTACAGATTGCTTATCCAGTTGCAAATCTGACTGCACTCACATTAAAGAGCCTCTGACTTGTCCACAAGGATATCATGAGAGAACTTTTTTTGTTTTGCCTGTTTGTTTTTCTTGAGGCCTTGCTGAAAACCATACACAATGTCTGTAATACCCACTTACTTATTAACTATAGATATTTTTCTTGTATGTTAATTTAGAATATTGGTATTATAAAATATTAAAGCACATAGACAAGAATAGAGAATAAATATAATAAACCATGTATCTCTTTACCTGTTTTATCAAATATTCACGACATGTTTGCTTCAGAATTATTTGTTTCTCTTTAAGAAATGAAATATTACTAGTACAGTTGGAGTACCCTGTGTCCCTTTCTCATCATGATTCCGGAGTTGATCATTCTCATGCATGATTCATAACTATATATGCACTGTATCTATAAATATTACATATTGATTTTATAGGTCTTTAAACTCTATCATACTGCAAATATTCTGAAATTTGTAATATTAATATTTTGAGAACTATGTATACTAATGAACATTAAGTGCTGGTTCATTCTTTTTTGTGTCTTAAAAGTGTTCTATTGCAGGCAATAATTTTCTGCAAAGGAACACATAGTAAATACAGCCTGTATGATATTCTCCTTTGGTTTTATTTGTTTTTACAACCCTTTAAAATCAAAATATTCTTAGCTCTTAGGCTGTACAAAAATTGGACTTAGTTTGGGGTAACCCCTGTTCTACTG